ATATATAGATATATATATTTGAAAAAGCCCAAGGGCTCATATATTAACCTTAGATTTCAGATTAGGATGAAGTTTGTGGCATTTAGCAAGGATATGACCAAACATCTTACAGTGGGTACAATATGGGGGTTTGTGTTTCATGACGATTTGTTGCCAATAACCATTATGGGTTGTGTCCAGCCAAACTTTCAGTAATATCAAGTAAGGTAATGTCATTTTTCACAAGTATTCTGGCCACCGAGGGTCTGCTTAGGTTGAAAGTAGGCAGATCTAGTTTCAAAGGATCCCCAAGGATGACCTCAATAGAGTTGAGAACCTGATGGTGAAAAAAATGCAGCTTGAGACCAGGTAAACTAAATAATACCGGTACAGGGGGAGTTTCATGATTTGGGTCGAAATTAGGAGACCATTATAATAACTTCATTGATTTGCCTTCGATATTAAGATATTTCTTGGAGAAAATTATGATGTAGCCTTCAGCCACTGTTAGTTGGATCAACACATGTCTCCTATCCATGAGTCTCACTTTGCACTTGCCTACTAGCTTAAGATCATCAACACTCTTTCTGATAACATCCATAGAAGGGTGTCCCCACTGAAATTTTTCAATAAGAGCAAACTTGAATTTTTTCGTCAGGGTAGAAATTTCTGATTCAGAGAAAAAAATTTATTTTTTTCCACATTTCCTTCTTCCCTTCATAATAAAAGGACAATCATATGTACCCTCACGAGATTTCATATAACTTGAGGGAAATCCCACTGCGAACTCCACCTGAGGGTTACCCACCACGTGGGCAAAGGAGACTTTGTCTGGCTCAACCAAACAAGGAGGCGTTATCAGAGCAAGGAGAATTGTCGGCGTTAAGCCACAGCGAAGTTGTTGTGGCAGGAAAAACAGCGAGAAGCTTCACGAAACTGGGCTGACGAGCGGCTCTGTCGCAGACGGCAGAGGCAGAGGCAGAGGCAGAGGCAAGCAGACGACATGACGCCGAACTGGGGTCGAGCAGAGCAGGATGCAAATTTCGAACGGCTGGACTCGTCGAGTAGACGCGAACGCATCGTCGTCGAGACGCAGACGAACGCCGACGAAGACGTACGCGAGCCGACGAAGCAGAAAGAAGCGGAAGCTTCGAGCGACAGAATCAATGGCGATCGCCATTCGAAACATTCGAAACCCTAGCAAAGCAATCGTCCGTCATATGCTCTTATATATGTATATATCTAGATGTATATATCTGGGGACACACACACACACACACATATATATATAGAAAACCCAAAGGCTAATATATTAAAAAAAAATAAGGATACATATAGATTGTGTGGAAGGGCCCAAGCATGACACCCTTCCCCACGATAACCACCACATACAAATAGTTCCAAAAAAGGAGAAAATACAGAAAATTACAAGAGACCTAAAGAAAAAATAAAAAATGCCAAAAAACGTAGCATCAGGTAGTTAGAGAGCAACCTAATTTTGTTTTGCCTATATATACGTCATCGTCGACATCGGCTTCCTAAGGTTCCACAACACCGATGGCGTTTGATTCTCCCTTCGACTTCAGCGTCGACTTTTTCAATCCGAAGTAGCGTCGACTTCAGCCTCTTCGGCGGTCTTATCGTCGTCTTCTTTAATTTCTTTTGTGGTTTTCGCACGTTTCTCTCGTCACTGCCGCGACTCCCTGTCTGCGCGTAGACTGGCCTTCGACTTCCTCTCGTTCTGCTCGATTGCTCTGAATTGAGTGTTGCACTCGCGTCCTCCTTGCACGCATGTGAGCTCGTCCTCCCTGTACGTACGTGAGCTACGATCGCAGTCCAGACTCGATCCCTGCAGCTTGTCGTTGTTTCATATCCTTGTCCATGGCTTCTGCTCCTTATCAACCAGCGACCACTTCAGTTTTAAACTTTGGGAAAGCTTCTTTTGTTGATATGGTTGGCTCTATGGGATCAGATCAAGTTTTCCCGCAGGTTTATCACGAATCATTCGAAGGTCAGGGGATTGCAACCTCATCAAGAAGACAAGTAGGAAGAGTGACAAACTAGCTTTAGTCTTCTCTGATGTTAAAGTTCCAACTTGGCTGATAAGTGCAAATTCACTCTCATTGGGAAGTTTCAATCGGAACACCCTAAAATGAGACATCCTAAAATTGAAATCGTTCGAAAGGCTTTTAAAGATCTCAAACTATTGGGAATTTGGAAGGTTGACCTCTTTGATGAGAGACGTGTGATGATACAATTATCTAAAGTGGAAGACTATACCAAAATATTTTCCAAGAAGTTTATGACAATTGATGGGAAATATATGAAACTGCTCAAGTGATCTCCTGAATTTAACCCTAGCCAAGAACCGCCTATTGTTCCAACCTGGTTTAAACTATCTGGCCTAAAGTTGCACTATTTCAATCACCAAATCTTCTATTCTATTGGAGCTGTACTAGGAAGACTTATGAAATAGGATACACCCACCTTCAATCTATCCAGACCTTCGGTAGCAAGAATCCTTGTTGAAAGGGATATCACCTTCACTGATGTGGATGAAATATGGCTTGGTATAGCCCACAATGGGTATTGGCAGTCAATTGTTGCAAAACAAAGACTCTACTACTGCAATCACTGTAAATTTGGGCACACCCCTGTTAAATTTTTCAGGTTTCACCCACATATGAGATCAGCAGGTCCTAACAACACCATCCATGTGGAGGAAAATATAAAAGACACTGTTAATCTTCCGGAAATGTTGAATGAGAATTTGACTCATCAGACTACTCACCAACCAAATCAGCAGCTTTCCCCTACTGTTGTTGGGGCAGTTCTTCCTCAGATCACTAGTACTGTGCATTTTGTTGTAGTAGAAACTAGTCGAAATGTCTTGGAACCGCCTATTGCGAGAGAAGAGATTACTCAAATTCTGGAAGAGCGTCAAGATCAAGGAGTGCTGCGGGAGTCAGATAAGTAGCTTGTGGATCAACATACCCCCCGGGGTGAGCCTTCATCGAAGATCCACCCATTGATTAGACGAGACTACCTCTGGCAGAAGATTGACAGGTTTACAAATTTAGGAAAAAAAAAAGAATGCTAGAACCCAATATTTCTCAGGATGATTGTCTCATAATTTCAGGCAGAAGCCCACATCTCAGTACGTTATTGGACTCTCTCCCTAGAGCCAGGCGAAGGGGAAGCGGTAAATCCACCGACTACATCCATCATGATTAAGAGTTTTTCTTCTTTTTTATATTTTTGGGGATTACGAGTGTCTGTAATCCCTGTGAGTGTGCTTTTTTTCCTCGCTCACTAAAACATTTGTATCCTCCATTTTTATCAGTATCTATATATATATATATAGATATATGTATGTATGTATGTATGTATGTATCTATATATATATATATAGATATATGTATGTATGTATGTATGTATGTATATGTATGTATGTATGCATGGATGTATGTATGTATGCATGGATGTACGTATGTATGTATCTAGATGTATATGTATATATGTATATACTACATATATGTATGTATGTATCTAGATGTATATACATATATACATATACATCTAGATACATCCATACATACATCCATACATACACATACATACATCTACATGCATACATACATACATGCAATATATATATATACATATGTGTGTGAATGCAAGCGGGCGCTCGCGCTGGAGTGTCTACATATATACATTCATGTGTATAGTATATTGCTTGTATGATTAAATATCAAATATGATATTTTTAAATTTCAGTGCAAGGATAGAACAAATATCTGCATACCACATGAGCTCCGATTGGACCAATTGGAGGACATTTGAACTTTCTTTGATGCCTCTCAATAGCGTGCAAGAGGCTGAGAACTTTATGGCCTCCAAAGGCTGTTACCTGGAATGAGAAGAAAACCATATCAATAGCAAAGTTCATGAACATCAAAATGTGTAAAAATTTCTGTAAATCTTAATTAAAAAGATATAAATTACACAATATCTTCATACGTGATAAAAACTGGAAAAATCCAAAATCTAATGAAGACTAACCTTGTTAGTTTGTTGTTGCTGAAAAGCTTGCAATTGGGAGTATAGACCACGACATTTTTTCTCGTTGTCATGAGCCTGTTTGTTAGTACAACAAATCCATCTTTAGCATAACATCTACATAGTTGCATGTGCAAGCATCTCAAATAAAAAATAGCACGGTGATGATAAACTTAAGAGCCAAGCTCAGCCTTTACCAAATCGTTAAGGGAACTGATAAAAATTAATTAAAATTAACATTATTATGGTGGGCTTTCAATTTAACCAAACTAATATGTTACCAACTGATCGATGGGAGACTTTGGTACTCAGGTTTAATCCCGCAAAAACAGAAAACCATTAACATTTGGAACTTAATATTTTAAAACTAAATTTGATCTGACATGTATAAGCTTATGTTGCTCGAAGTCTCCAAAAGCATACAAAAGCTGAATCTAAACTTGTCCACGAAGTTAAATAGAAAATATTTTAAATAGGCATTCCATGCAGGCCGGGATACATACTGATGCAGGCATGACTCCCATCACAGCCGTAACAAAGAGGAGCAAAACAGGTCCTAATCGGATCCCTCCTTGGTCGGTTCAAGGATTTCAGCCCCCAAGACAGGTTGGAGGGGTCCTCCTTTACCTTATTTAAGCTACTATTAAGGCTATTTTCGTGTCTTCAATATAAATACCAAAACTATTATTAAAATTTTGATTTAACTTTTATGTTATTGGAAGTTCTTTCTCTTGTTTTTCCTCTTAGGAGTGTTATTTTCTCTTTCTCAAATTTATATTTTGTATATGAATTTTATGTGATTTAGGCGCTCTATAAAAATAAGAATGAAATATTATTGAATTGCTTCTACTTAATTTGAGACGTAAAATTTATTGAATATGTGTGAATCACAGTAATGTTTATTTTAGATATATTTAGGTAATTGAGTTTCTCGTTCACTGTTTTAATAAGTATGATACCAGAGCAAGAGTTGGATATATATTCAATCAGCAAAATCATACCAATCTCTATTATGCCCCGTATCAATATAGGGAGGGTATTATCTTGAAGCGTGACAGATTACAAAAAACAACCAAGCCCAGATCACATAGCAAGCTAACTAAAAGAATGATTATTAAAAATTCAAATCATGGCAAAAGCCAAAAGAAATGCTTATGACAGAATGTCCATCCAATATATGGGTTCTATTAATTTCATTTAAAAGATTAAAAATTAAGACAAACAAGAAAATTTGAACAAGTATGGGCCAACAGATATCCAAAAATAAAACCAAACCTCTTTCCCAAGCTCTTTTATAGCTTCTCTGGCAATTGATAATCTTTCTGTTAGTACCTTCTCTTCTTCAAGCAGCCTGTAACAGCAAAATATAAATTAAAGCAAACAGGTTAAATAACAACCAAAAAGTAATTAATTCTAGGCGCAAAACACATGGCAACAAAGGAGCAACAGGTAAATACCAACCAAAAAGTAATTTATTCAAGGCACAAAACACATAGCATCAAAAGAGCTAAATAAGCAAAGAACCTTGAAACATTTATTTGAACCAAATTAATCTCATCTTGTAGTTTCTGCACTCGTTTCTCAACCTCAGCTTCCTCAGCCTACAATTGTACACGGAAATAACAAAAGTAAGAAACATGCTTCAAAATTATATATGTAAACAGTTCATTATAAGCAAACTTTTGCAAATTCATCATAATTAGTGGAATAAATTAGTCCTTAAACTAGGCTTTTCATTCGTGCCTGAAGCACAACTTAACTATGAATAGGCTTGTATGGCACACCTCTCAACCTCAACACTAAAGAATAGCAACCAAATAAAGATCCCTGGAAGTGTAGTCTCAAGTAAAATTATTCTCTTTAAACACCATCACAACTATACCTTATACAAAATCAATCTCAAGCTCCAACTGGCCACTCCGGCATTGCCACCCAAATCATTGCATACCATTGCATGCCACAACAGCACAGAAACGTTGAAAATAACAATAAAAAGTCATGAAAAAAAGCAGCAATGAAGCATGCCGAAGCAACTATGCTTCCCAAAGTAAAAGTATCTATCCATAATGAAAAGACAAGAAACAGTAAAGAAAAATTATTCAAACTATGTCAAAATCTAGCAGTTTGATTTAAATATTTAGTGCATTCCCTAGACTTTGAACATAAACATCAATATTAGACTCTGTGAAATTTTTGGTGCATCAATAAGGCATTCATGCTAATTGATCTATTTTAAACATTTACAACTAATACTATGATTTTTTTTTGTGAGATATACCAAACTGATGATATAAGCAGACGGACACAGACATCAACTAATAAAAAGGAGATATGTCTTTAAATCCAATAGAATGTAAAAAATACCAACAGATTTGAAATGAAGATGATTAATTTTTTCCACAAAATTAGAACAAGAGTTAAGACACCTGTGTATCTTTCAAGAGTTGCTCCTGAGTATCATTAAGTTGCTGCTCAAGCAATCTAACACGTTTCCTCATTTTCAATATCAAAGAATCACCTCGAAAATACTCTGCTTCAAGCTCGGCTCTCTCCTTCTTAGCCTATATAGAGAAAGAACATGGATGAAAAACACTTCATAGATTATAAAATAGCTATTTATATTTTACCAATAATAATATCCGATAAAAGTAAAAAAGAAACACCATGTTTCATCTGTTACAGTAAAAAGTTTAATGTGCTGCAAAATATTGATCCAACAAATCATTGAATCTATAGAAAAAAAGATAAATTTGTAGGAGTCTTCTTACAATTAGCGAAGCTTGTCTCTAATACCTCTCTGTGGACTGCGAAACATCAAAAGGTTATTATTGGGCATAAGGCACAACAAACCATCACAATATGTCAATATGAGCCGAGTTTACCATCCGTTTCTTTGTCACCAATCAAAAAAGAAACATTGCTAATTCTTCCATTCTACTTCTTCCATTCTACTTCTTCCATTCTACTTCTTCATTTCTACTTCTTCATTCTAATTCTTCCATTCTAATTCTTCCATTCTACTTCTTCATTTTCATCATCTCTCAAAGTATTATGTGGGCTTCTTCCATTCTACGCCAACCCACATAAATAGTGTTCTTCCATTCTACTTCTTCCATTCTAATTCTTCCATTCTACTTCTTCATTTTCATCATCTCTCAAAGTATTATGTGGGCTCTGAAAGATGCCCGCCAACCCACATAAATAGTGCAAACCCACATAAACACGCAAGAATTTTTAGGAGGCAAATTAAGCAGCAATAAAGTATTAACTAGAGATTCCTCAATCTTGTAAAAAATAAAATTATATTGGTTCGAAGGTTTCTCACAGGTAAACACCTCCACTTGTTAGGAAAAGAAATCTTGATTTTGTCACAAGCCTTTTGTTGAATATAAAACAATGGTCGTTAATGTGAAAAACGACAGCAATAAATCGAAAAAAAGGATCGAGAAAATTTGCAAAATAGAAAACAACAACGGAACACAAAGATTTACGTGGTTCGGCAAATTGTCTGTGTCCACAGAGCTGCAGAGAATTTTATTGCTCGAGGATTACACCCGTCAATCACCTCGACGATTACAAGAAAAAAATTCTCTCTCTCCTCCTCTCTCTCTCTCTCCCCCTCTAAGTCGAGAGCCACTTCAGAACTACACGAGAAGAAGAAGAATACAAAAGAAAAGCAGCTTTATTTTTCCCCGTAAGCTTTGCACCGAACGATCAGGATAAGGGAGCAGCTACTATGCGATATTTAATTCTTTCATAAGCTTAATCGCATGCTTGATCTCTTTCTTGTGAACACAAAGGAATTTATGAATCTTCTTTTAGACTCATTAAGAAACCCTTAATTACAAATATCTCGTCTCCATATTCCTGGCTTTAATCGTGAAATCTAGAGAAGCGCTGGCGGGAGGATACTTAAGGAAGGCTAATTAATATTACAATTAACACCTTCAATTATTACCAAAACTACAGTGGACCAAATCTCCACTTTCCTCAACAGTTGTTACTCGGCTCAACCTAATGTGTTGATCAGATTTATAGTTGATACTCCTCAGTTCAACGAAGACCTTTTTTTAAGCAGTGTGGGATGACAAGCTCTATCAAGATCATATTGTTCAATCATTCCAAGCACATAATAAGCCCTAAAAACTTTAATCTATGGAGGTATACAACCTAACCTATTTGGAAGATCCTTATTGTCAACCAAAAGCTGCTTCATCCAAATGGACCTCGTAATTGTGGCAGAAGCTCGTCAAGTAAGCAATTTTAAACCAACTCAAGCTAGCAAAAAACTTTATGCCTCCTATCAAATGCATCTAGTGAAACTAAAAGCTCGAACAAAATAAACTGTGATCAAAAGAAGATGGAATAGTGAGTCAATTCATGTATGTCGAGGAGAGTATGAGTGAGGTAGAAGAGTTTTCCCACATGGCTCTGATAGTGGGTCATGTTGATAGGTACATCATTGAGAATATTAGATAAGTTTTCATTAGGATCCACAGAAACAACAAAAGGTTCCCCAAGATGGCTGAGCCACTTACATGCCTAAGAAATACCGAAGCACGGCACTTTTGTGAACTTGTCGAACCATGCTCTTGGAGAGTGCTTTAACCCATAGAGGGACTTTGTAGCATGCACACTTGTCCTCCAGAGGCAGTAGAATCAAAACTCGAAGGGAGAGATGTGTCTACCTCCTTCTCCTAGCCGACAGCCTCCTCTGTCGAGTCCAGCAAACTGCAGGAATCAAGCAGCTTCTTGTATCAGCGTGTGCTTCCATGTGGGGTTCAATGAACAGCATGTTTTAGCGAACTATAGAAATTTTAGAATGATTCCTCATTTTCTTGTCCGCAGGATTCCTTCTATTCCTCTGCGCAGCAGCCGCTTTCCTGTAGATTCATGTCTGTCAAATACGTTCATTATTCTGTAAAAAGAATTCAGGCAGTTGTACTGTTTGTAACAACTCTACCAAAATTCATCGATAGCTCAAAACCACAACAACATATCCTTCAAAGTAGTCGGAATTATGGTTGCTTCTTTCAATGAATTACTCTCAGAAGATGTTTTTGACTCCACCAGAGGATCGACTCCAATCTCCGCTCCCTTGCAGACCAAAGGATCAGAAGCCAACATGAATTTCTTGATCATAACTCATAAGTTGAATGACAATAACTTCCTCCAATGATCCCAATCGGTATCTTTGCTCATCAAAGGCGTGTGAAGTTTGATCATCTCATAGACATGATTCTTGAGCATTTAAAGACTAACTCGGCATATGGAGCTTGGGAAGTGAAGAACTCCATGGAGACTTCAATTGGTTGTCGTACATGTTCCTCCCTTCAGTTAGTGCCCTCTGGATGGCTATCCGTGATGTCTACTCTGATGTAGGAAATTTTGGCTAACTCTATGAAGAATTTAAGAAGATCCGGGAGGCAAAATAGGGTTCAAGAACCGTGACCCAATACTATAATAACCTGATTGCACTATGGATGAAATGTGGCTTACACTACTACACTTGGGAATCTCCACCTACTTATCACTCTTCCAAAAGATCGTAGAAAAGAATCATATGTTCCAATTCCTTGCTGGTTTTAACAAAGACCTTAACAAAGTCCAAAACAGTATTCTTGGTCGGGATCATCTTCCTTCCACTCGAGTGCTATAACCAAGATTCTTCCGGAAAAAATTAGATGACTTGTGATGCTTGGCACTTTACTCCTTCAGTTGAGTCGTCCACCTTGATCTCAAATAATGCTTAGCCCTCGTCAATGCCACCTCGGACCACTCCCCCCACTTGTGACTGTAGTCACAAACCCAACCATATTTGAAACAAGTATTGAAAACTTCACGATAAGCTAGCATATAAACCTTCGGCAAAATCCTCTGCTGCAAAGTACTCACAGCAACGACCGAACAAGGCACAGCTCAACCGACTCCTACCTGAAACATCTTGAATTCCTCTGAATCCCTTAAGAAACAAATTGAGCAAATGATCAAGCTTCTTGGAGCCAACCAAGTCTCTGCGGGTCCGTCGACCTCTCACGTCCGACAATGTACGCTTATTATGGCTCTTACAGTTTATTTCTCCTCTAGTCCATGGATCATTGATTCAAGTGTCACAGATCACATGACTGACTGATCACAAATTTTCTCGACTTACTATCTGTGCTCTGAAAAAAATACCGTAAGAATTGTTGATAAAGGGTTAGTTGTACTAGTCAAAGAACATGTCACATCCTAATGAGCATACAAACTTCCAGTTAGTTTTTGCTAATTGCATTGATAAGGAATTGGCTCTTTAGTATGATTTAGTTAATTTTGGATTCGACACCTTCAACTGACATGATGTGACAAGTGGAAGACGATAACTTTAAGCATGGAGCAACCATTTATGTTTTATATGTTTGTATATTATGTGTGTTGGTGTTATAAATTTTAAAATTTTTTAACATTATTATATTTGTTGGGGACAAATAGTTGACAAAGGTTGGGGCTTCCTCTTATGATTATTGATTTTGGTTTGGAACACTTTCGTAGAGACATTGTTCAAGGATATGCCTCGGATCCAAACATCTAAATATGAGCTTTATTTAGGTGGCAAAATGTATGGTAGGTATGGCAAGTATTCTTTTTAGTTGAGTTTCAAATTGTCAATATTGTTGTCAAAAAAAAAAAGCAAACTTCCATATTCAGAGCAATAACGCCGCTTAATCATTAGTTATATGAACAGTAGAGAAACCTTTCTCAATTTGCATTGTTAACGCTTTTTTTTCCTACAAAGGGATTTTAGAACAACTTCCTTGACCGATTATTGAATGAGTGCCTTATATTCAGCCATCTTTAGGCTTGTTGAGAAAAATTCTATTAGTGATTCAATTATATTTAGGCTTATTGCATTCAACCATTATATTTGTATGGTCATCGGACTTACAAACCTATAGTCCTATCACTCCAAATTAATTAACATAAGCATTGCATGTTTAAGGTTCTTTCCTAAGTATTGAAACACTTGACGAGCTAACGAAGTTAAGGCTTACAAGACCTTGGTCCAGACATCATATGTGATACACTTAAATAGAATAAAGCTGAACTCTTAACCATCACGGCATTTTTTGGTACAATATTAAAATTTCATCAAAGTCTACAAAGTTACTTGTGCTTGTAAGAGAACACTCTTGGGATACATAACCTTCTAAAAAGTTGCACTAATGGAACAAAACCATGAGGCCATTAAGCCGAAACAGATAATATCTCAATGCGTGAGAGTTCATCTATTGGTAATAATATCAAAGCATTACACTAATTTAAAGATAGAAAATAAGTGTTATACTGAACAAAATGCTACGCCATGAAAGCCAATCTATTGAACCTAAGATGGGATAAAGTGCTATATGATGAAAATAACCTCTTAAGAATCATTCTGGGTTACAAATACCCACAAGAACGTCAATTTAAATGGGAGAATTTGTACACCTAAAATAGAATAAATTTGATCTCTCAAGTATTTTTGCACTAGAGTACCCAGTGGATGAGTGACATTTGAAAAGCTACAAAAATGAGATAAAATAATAAAGCCATAAGGCCAAAGCGAACAATATCTCAACAAGTGAATGGTTGGTTTCTTAAATAAATTTTTAAAATTTGTTAGTAATAGTTTGGTTGTTTTGTCAAAAGCTAGTATTTGCAAAGTTATAAGCATGTATAGGGGCAAAAATTTTAAATTGATGAATTGGTTTTCCTTCTGGTTATCATAAAACATTTTTGCACCTGTCAATGAAAAGGGATGACAAGTAAGCAAACATTTAAACATGAGCGGATACGATTGCCCACTAACAATTGGTATGAAAAGTGACCTTATTTGGTTCTAATAGACTGAATAAAAAAATTGATATTTTTGCTTATTTGAATTGGGTGTGCATTTTAGTTAGGATTGACCACCAGTAAACATCTATTAGAGGAAGAATCCACTTAGGCTTTCGCATTGATTTGATTGAGGTAAGGTATTGAAGGCCTGTTAGGGTTGATTAAGGTTAGTCGGGTTGATCAAATTCAAACAAGGTTGATCAAAATCAACCAAAGTGAATTTGGAATTTTCAAGATGTTGGAGTTGTGAATATACATATCACCATTTCAAGGACCTCGTGTTGTTATCAGCCTAACACTTTTAAGGCAAAGAGTTGAAAAGTCTCTTCTAAGGTTAATAAGTTAGTTAGGGCTCATCGCTAATAGAATCACACCTGATTAAAGAATTTTGGAAGTCAGCACATTAGCATTATTTATGGAAGGTATCAATATTGAGTTTATTCAATTTGCTAGAATTGATTTGTGCATATCTTTAGTTACAATTTTTATTATTATTCAAAATAGTCTTAAATTTATAGTATCTAGGAATTCTTTCTATAATTTGAAGCTTTGAAGCTCTAATCTAATTGTACATTTATTTTGAATCTCTAGCCTAACAATAATAATACAACAATAACAAAGCCTTAATCCCATTATGTGGGGTCTGGATACATGAATCTTTTTTATGCATTGCAACCTATTTAGTGTCATATTTTCATTTAGTTCTAATAAATTAATATCATTTTTTATATAATAAGTCCAAGTTTTCCTAGGTCTACCTCTGCCTATCTTAACATAAGTTCAATCTTAAACATCTACTTTCCTAATCGGATTATCAGATGGTCGACGTTCAATGTGACCAAACTATCTAAGAAGCCTTTCTCTAACTTTGTTCGTCACTGGAGCTACACCAACCCTATCACAGATATATTCATTTCGCATTTTGTCTCCAAGTGTAAAGCCACTCATCCACCTAATCATTCTCATCTCGACAACACTTAACTTACTATTATGCTTAACTTTTAAAGGCCAACATTCAACAACATAGAGCATTGCAGGTTTCACCACCATCTTATAAACTTTCCTTTTAGTCTAAGTGGTACTTTTCTATCACACAAAATGCCCGAAGCATTCCTCCACTTTAACCAACCAACTTGAGTTCTACTATCAACATCCTCATCTATATCACCATCGCTTTAAACAACAGACTCGAGATATCTAAATCATTCAAACCTTTTAATAATTTGATCACCCAAAATTACACTTCTATCACTAGAGCTACTATTAAAATTACATTCCAAGTATTCAGGTTTAGTTCTACTCATCTACTCAAATGAAGAAAGGCCTTTAGACTCCAATTTAGACCTCCATAATTCAAGTTTTTCCTGGGTTTTTTCTCTCGTCTTATCCACGAGAAAGATATCATCAGCAAAAAGCATGCATCAAGGCACATCCTCCTGTAAATATCCAGGAAGACCATCCATAACTAAAGCAAAAAGATATGGGCTTAAAGTCGATCCCTGATGTAATCCAACAGAAATAGGAAAATATTTGGTCAATCCTCCTTCAATTCGAACACAAGTAACAGCTCTATTATACATATCTTTAATGACTTGAATATAAGTCGTATCAACACCTTTTTAGTCTAACTCTAAATAAAAAAATGTATGAAACATTTTACATGGGAACTTATTTTAGTTATTTTCTTGTACTAATATATTTCTTTCTTCTTGAAACTTTAACTTTACAATATTACATTCCATTGCTCGTTGGCTGATATCACTTGAATTTTAAATATGTAGCAAGATTATCAAAGACTATCATGCGTGCTTTCATTGTTCACTTTCCTACTAAACGTACTTTTCCTCCATTGATTCCAACAACATCGGAAAGGAGATAAACAAAAAAGTTAAAAAAAAAATTCTAGTAGAATAAAACTGTAAGAGGAGATCAAAGCCAGAAGTGAAAACAAGACGCATTAGCATCAGTGACAATTTAAAGGAGAGAAGAAAGCATGAATAACGCAAGCTGAACTTTAAAAAATGTGTCAATATTCGTGCATTCAACTGGTATCTATCCAATGAGACAATAAATCTATCGCGCATATATCAAAAACATGCTAGAGTTAGATTTGTGCTTCATTGATGTGTATGTCACCACCAAAACAGCCAACAAATCCTAATAACCAAAAAATTCCCCTCTGCATGTCATCCAGCGAGGCATTTAGCATGATTTTTTTAATTGTAAAACCGGCTTAAACAAAATCTTACTCCTAACAACAAATAGTAATTAAATCATGAAGATCTAAGTGCATTCCTCCACAATACCTTAGTTCAATGAGAAATCTTACCGCAAATACAGGAGAGTGACTCATACCGTTTCCAATACAATGCTACAATTGGAAAAACAGCAAAGCTTAAAAAATGACCATATATTACACATCTCCCAAAGAGAGACAACATATAGCTTCTAGAAAATAAACTGATGCATGTAGTTTCCAATATGCATTAGAAATTTCAGACGATTTGGGCTTGCTCAACAAAAAAACTGAAATGTGGCCATTGTTTGATCAGCACAACCAACCAAAAAAATTAAAAAAAAAAAACTACAAAAATATTAGTATATTTTTTCCAAATTTCTTTACATATCAGTGCATTAGCAAAATAAAAGCAATCATTACAGGAGAATAAATAGATTGAATGTGATCAAAATACCAATAAAAGATTGCTCTGCAACTCTTCCTTTATTCTTCTAACATCAGAGGTCTTCTCCATTAATGATGTGATTTGGGCCTTCTTGTCACCAAGTAATGTCTTCAATTCATCCAGCCTATTCTGTGCATAAGAAAAAGAAATATCTATATATTCAAATATGAACTGCACAATCCATATGGAACTTAAAAATAGTAAAATAAGTAATGTCATATTTCACAAAGTAAAAGCAATCATATGTTCAGCATGGGGGAATGACGAATGTCAAAATTGATGAAATTTGGATTAGTAGAAGATAAAGTGTGAGATAAGTATGCTAAGGGAAGTGCAGGAACAGGTTAGTGGGGATAATGTCCACAACTTCAAAGTTCTGGATGCCAAAAAAGGGATATTAAAATAAGCACAAATAAGGAAAGGAATTTTCATCCAGATGGTTCCAAAAGGCATGGGTCCTGTGCTGAGCTAACAAAGTAAAAATCAAAAGTAACTTATAGCTAAACGAGCAGAACACATGTAAATCCTAAATAAAAATGAGAGGAAATAAAAAAGTTACTTAAAACTTCATCTGTAGTATGACTTTCGTTATGTCAAGGCAAAAAATAAAATAACAAACTAAAATAAAAAGTGCAAAAAACAAGTGTGAGTTTAACATAAAGCAACATAATATAATAGAACTGTAAACCTTTAGTTCTATCAATAAACTTCTAGAAAAAAAAAAAAAAACTATCATTTCAGCAAATAGAATGACAATATTGATATATCAGCATGAATTAACAGGGTGCCTTTGATAACAAATCTCACGTTTTAATATTTTAGGGGGCCCATAGGGGAAGTCGAGAGGAATTAAGAAATGAAGCAGTGAATATCAATTAATTTATCCAGCCGAAATATCCGGTAAATCAATTAGTTAATACAGCCAAAATATCCGTTAATGCAATGGTTATTTCAGACAAAAAGACAATTTAATATAGCCAACAAAATTTAATTTTAGGACTATGACGCTCCTAAGGAAGAAAAGAGAATTTGAACCCATCAGCCAAAAAGCAGAAAAGTCTGTATGAATCAAATTTCAATGGTACAAAAGGTTAGAGAACATATATTATTACTTGAATTTGGGTATTAAGAGAAGGTACAAAAAATTCGTGAAAAGAAGCACTACCAACTCCGTCCCAATCAAAAATATCAAAGTTTCAAAAAGATCTCAAAACTTTAGAAGAGCTTACTGAAATTACATTCCAGTAAAATATAAGAAAGACCATCGGCAAATTTAACCAGTGCTCTTTACTTTCTGACAAGTGAAGTGGAGAAAAAAAGATATTTTGAAGAGTTAAGATCGAAAAGGATAAATCTCATCTTTCACAGAAAATACAACCAAGACAACATCAAATGCAGAATGACTACTCAGCCAGTAATGGTTTTGGCTAATGGTTTTGGCATTAATGCTGCACCCCATCCTAACATACCTGAATAAATTAAGAATTGGAAATGCTAAACTGCTTACTGTTAGTCGGTCAATTCTAGCTTGGCAAGTAGGAACACGTTGTTTAAGTTTTTCAAGCTTAACATTTTGATCCTCAATTTGTCTCCCAACATCATACACCCATGACCAAGCCAATTTTTTCTTCAAGTTTTCAACCTCCTGCGCAATTTCTTCAACATGTTCCATGTTCTTAACTTTCTCACGCAATTCTCTCACCTCCTCGATAATAGGACGTATTGATAATTCTAATTCAGCAAGAACAGCATTGGCCGCATTCAAGTGACTTTTAATACCCTCAAGTAGCTCGCTAACTTGCTGAAGAAGAGTGGCCTTGAAGAAAAACTGCAGGAAGTAAAATAATATTAAATAGGCAGAGAAATAATAAATCATAAGTGACAAACAGAGATACTAGTACATGGTAAACAAATTTATGTCAAGAGCACAAGAGCTTGCAGTTTAGTTTCAGCTTAAGCAGCAAACTAGCTGATAAAATGAAACCAGGCCTGCTAGAACTATTAAAAAGGCTAAGCAGCTAGCATAATGCTGGATAAATTATATGAAAAAAAATACCTTGAACTTATCCTTGTCATTCCCAGAATGCAAGAACTCCCTGCTTTTATCTTGAGACATTACCACACAAGGATTCTCAACGTCAATCTAGATGATTAAAGAAGATGAGCATGTTGGAAACAAAGCTTGAAACTTAATGATCAAACAAAGCAATCATCCACAGAAAATTAGAGTTAACGAAAACATTGCAGCCCCCAACACAAAGTTTTCAAACATAAGAGTTACCCCTCAGAGAATATAATTGAAACCAAAGTAAATATTTCTTTACTAAAAGACGGATGGCAAGTAAAGGTCTGAAGAACATGCCAAAAACAGTTAAACACCACTAATGCAAAACCTGCGGCCTCAAACAAATGAAGAAAGCCGCTCATCATAGGAAGTTCAGATGAAACTTTATTGAAAAACATATTTTAAAAAACACCTACAGTGATAGAGCAATACCCACTCGAGAACAACTAGAAGCAACCCTTCAATGCACACAATCGCGTGATGAACAACAACATTTAACTGACAAACTTATAAGACACCATGCTCTCAAAAGCATCATCATCATTAGCTTTATCCCATGGCTTAAAGTGATAGGCAAATGGGGACTAAAAAAACAATATGGCAGGGACAGGGAACCCAAGAGAGAGAAAAAAGGCAACAATAAATGAATAACAAAGTTAAGAAAAAACAGAAAAGAAGTTCAAACAGCAATAGAAGCCGCCAGCATTTTTCAGCCGGTGGTTTATGGGACTCACTAGGCACAAAGAAAGAAAAAAGTGTCAAAATATTTACGAACTGTTTAGATGGGTTCATTTTAGTCCCAGAGTTTACAAAGTGCCAATTAGTCTCAAATTATTTTAATATGGGCTAAATTAGTCTCCATGAAGGACTATTTTAGCCCCAGTTTAAAAATTATGGGGACTAATTTGGCACATTTATAAATTCTGAGCATAAAATAGACCCATGTAAACAGTTAGTGACTATGTTGACAGTTTACTCTAGAAAGAAAATAGAATTCACATTTTCAACCACATCAGGGCAGAACTTTACGAAAACTTAAACTTGTATATTTCGAAGAGATCAGGAATCCTCTCTAATGAAAAAAAAATGCCATTTATGAGGGTCTACTTTCCCCAAGGAGTGAGGAGGAACTGAAATGTACAAAAATGATATCCATACTAATATAGATCTAAAGACTTCTCAAAACAGAATAAATACTTCAAATGCATCGCTCATATCTGTCATAAGGTGTGGGCTAATCACGTTACTCATGTTTATGATTATTAGACACTAGGATTCTTCTATTCCTATAACTAGAACTCTCATAAAATTATAAAGTTGGTTTGAGCAGCACTGACTCTGATAACCACCTCATAAAAGCTAAAAGCATAAATAAACATTGATAAAATAAAATCAAATAAAAAGCCCATGAAGATTAGCAAAGCCAAGCCCCCGAAAAAAAAAATTAGAATAATGCTTGTACTCCCTAAAGAAACCTACATATAAAATGTAATTTCTCAATCCTCATGCAACACATCAGTATGTATAGATACTTTACCATTTTGATATAGGCCATGCAAACATTAACATCAACAATGCACAGAAGTCTATAAAATCTTAAAATTGTAAGGATACATTGAGGAGTGTGGCATTATGCAAGATAAATATTTTGATGCAAGTGATTAAGGTTTAAATAAACCATGCATTCAATGAAAAACTCAAACTCGGCTCAAATAATACTTCAATCAAGTTTGCTCAAATTAGTTAATATACAATTTTGAACATTTTTAAAAACTCTAAAGATTAAATGAACCAAACATAATCATTTATGTTTATGAACAAACTCGTTTGTAGTTCAACATATAATTTGTTTAATAATCTGGAGTTATATGATATGTTATTTAAATAAATTTTGATTTGATGTTCTTTTAAAATTAAATATTTAATAGAAACATATGATAATTTAATATTAATATGTACATTAATCTTTTTTTTTTTATCTCTTTACATTAATATACAAGTTTGTTTGTATTTATTTATATTATTTGATTACAAAAAAAAACTTGCTTGCAGCTTATATATTATCTTATTTAATCATTGTTAAATACTAATTCAAAATTTATTTGATTGCTTTTATTTAGATTTATAAAAAAATTTATTAATAATTTTATATAAAAAAATCAAAAACTCATTCAATTTTTTAACTTGCTTATTAATTCATTGAAGCCCTCATCTAATCAAAATGAACAAGTCAAGTAAAAAATCAAAGTACAACTATTGAAAAATTTAAGTAAGCCAAGTAAGAACATACATGTGAAAGCTCGGCTCGAGCGAGTCGAACGTGAACAACTTATATAAACAAGCCATGTCCACTCCATGGCATACTCGGCCTCTCAATTACAGCCCTACAGGTGATGTAGGTAAACATTAGCCCCAAACCACCAGCCATGCACTCACCTACAACCTCAAAACACTCCATTTATTTCTACAATATTTAGTTTTGACAATAAATATCAGGATTAAGGAAATGTTGAGCGTTCCAACATTTCTTTTTGCCTTCTATGCTTCTTCCAAACACACAAAGTAAGGATTTACACATGTTTGGTGAGTGATTCCCAATGCTGCAAGTGAATCCCCAACATGTTCATGCGAACTTGCCTTCCCTTCTTCCAGAATATATATTGTCTTTCAACCCAAAGATCACCCCCCACCCCTCTCCCTCAACCCCGTCCAACCCAAAAATCATCCCCCACCCCCACAGGGGGTTGGGAAAGGTGAAAGGTTTACATAACAAGTGTATTAATAGCATGAAGCATCACTACTGTATTAGTATATTATGATGCAGATGTGAAACAAAAGACTAATAGCAGTACAGAAGCATTAAGGATTTAACTGTAAACTGGTTTAACAGAAAATTCAGATGAAAAAATATATATATATATATATACTTACATTAAAGTGATCTATAAGCTCGTCAAGCTCCTTGGCCCGCTGAGCAATTTTTCTTCCTTTAAAACATAGTCAAGACTATAAGCATCCAACTAAAGCCAAAAATAACTACACAATAGCAATAAACCAGAGGTAGTTGTTGAAGATAGTGCATGTTTACTCCCATTTACAATAAAAAACAGTGAAACAGAAAAAAATTAGCTAATATAGTCTGCTAATGCACATTAGATAAAAGTGATTTAGGAACATGATTTCATCAAAAACATCTCCCACAAAAAAGTAACATGAATTTCACTAAAAATAGATGTAGCATAAACATAACAATAGGGACTTCATCGAGAAAGATTATTCAACTCGTTACTACTCGGACAGAATCAAATACAAAGAAAACAAATATCATTTAACTTCTTAAGGAATTTTAGTTATTTTTTCTTCTCAATTGGTAGTCTTTTTAGTACTGTTTGCATTGTTATGTGTAGCTCCTGTACATCATTGATATGGGAAATAACACCATTTTCTCAAAAAACAAGAAACACCAGGTAATCAAATAGTACAATAAGTTTTGCTTTCACTTATTAGCACTGATATGCATAATAGATAATTATAACCATAGTTAATTAGTGCAGATAATGAAGGGTTGGCAATGCAACAAAGATTCTCAATCCATAACTTAAAAAAAGGAACTCAAGTATTCGGATAATGGGCAAGGAAATACTTAAACTTAAAAGGATATAACGGCAGAACTAAAAAAAAAAAAAAAAACCCCACAAACAATTTCAAATCTGAAGATTAAAATAAAAAATTGTTCAAAATGAATTCCTCTACTAAAATAGCATCCTATTTACACATATGCATCATACCATCAGCCATGGATGCAGACTGTGCAATTGATCAATCATGTTATCTTAATACTTCCATTGTTTAAGTTTCTAAACAAGACATATAAAGTCCAAAAAATTCAAAAACATCATTTTTCTATTTTTTGTGTTTTCAATTAGCGAATAACTAAATTTGGAGAATGAAACCAAAGCACAAAACTATGAAGTCCATCATTTTAACCTTTTAACCCATCCTAAAAATTTTAATAGGCCTCAGATAGATGCTATGACTCCTGCATAAAAAGGGAAAGAAATAGAGCAGAATCACTGAAGTAATAAGGTATAAGAGTTGTTTGTCATAAGAAGGCCCCAGAAGTTGTTTCCTTATCATGTCCTTTGACATTATGATCCTCCTTGGCAGAAAACCAAAAAAATGAAATAGGGAAGGGGTAAGACTGATATTAGGGAATGAGTATAATAATTGTGAAGCATTAACAAATGAAATGGTTTGCAACAGGGAAGAGTTTTTGGATTCTTCTTGTCTTTTCCACGTCTTTTCTTTTATGTGTGTAGGAGGCCATAAATAGTTGTCCCCTGCGTGTGTGGGAGGCAGTTTTGAGTGTGTTCAGTTTCAGATCTCCTGTATGGAGTCTATTTTCCCTTCGAGGGATGTATCAGAGAAATTAGCGGTGCTTTGGTTGTATCCTCTCCGATGTGGTGATTGTACCTTCCCCTTTTATCCTCCCCAAAATGTATCTTTCACTCTCCTTAGGTGTCGACTACTTCAAGCTTCTCCTAACCACCACACGATCATTGTCGACCACCCACAACCCTTTCCACTCGTTGTCCTTCAATCCCACACCTTCCCTTCACTACCACTCGCCTAATGTGGTTATCGTCACCCCTTCCAATCATCATCATCCCTGTAGCCGACCTACACTCCCTCCCATGAGGATATATTTAGGAGTGTTTGCTTGTGTCGTTTCAAGTTTTGTGTTGATATTTTTGTTCGAGTAATGATGTAATCTTATTTTAATGTTAATGAAAGTTTAAGTTTGATGTTTTTACTGTTTCCCCTACTAGTTCCGGTATCATATAATAGAAGCTTGAAGTACAATAGTCAAGCCAAAATAATAGTGATTTTATGGATGTTATTCTTATACACGAATTCATATAGACCAGGGCTGTCAAAATGGCTCGTTGCTCACGAGCAGCTCGTGTTCAATTCATTTGATAAGCAAACAAATCGAACACAAACACTTTTTTGCGCTCGATCCATAAATGAGCTGAACACGAGCTCGTGTTGGGCTCAAAAAAATTATATATATAATTGATGATACTATTTTAAAATAATGAAACTGATTACAAGGCTACAAAGATTTATAATTAATTAAAATTATTAATTAAAAAATAGAATAAAATATATTAAATTCTATTTAAATATATATTCTAATATAAATAATAAGATTTAAATCCCGCCCCAACTGTCAACATTCTAATTATGCATAACTAGGGATGAAAAAAGACCTCGTTTGTGACATATCATGTTCGGCTCGCTAAGCAAACGAACCGAACACAAATAAATTTTTTGAGCTCAATATATTAACAAGTTGAACACAAACGACGGCATTTTTTAACGAGTCAAACATGAGACAAGCCTCGGCACGCTCAAGTTTGGCCTGTTTACACTCCTAATATCAACAACCCAAACTCCTTTGAAAAATCCTCCTCCAACCCAAACCACTTTAAAGTTATAGCTCAAATTTTTACATTATTCCCATTTTCAAGGGCCCTATTGGAAAACCACCCGCACTTCCTAATCAGGGATTATGATGCAAACCTTCAATTTGCAGCACAAAAAATGCTTTTAACCACTTCAAAGGATTGAAATTTTATGGAAGCTCAGAATTAACTGTTGATATTGAGCTAAATGGGATCTCTATAAAATTTCTGAAGTAATCACTGTGCAATATTTTTTTTCTTTTCATTTTTTCCAGTGTGTTGTGATAAAAAACAACAACTATAACATGCTTTCAGCTTTTCGATCTTCAAACATTACATCTAGTATTTGATTTTCCTCCTTGACGTAGTAATCGACAATTTCCTATAAAAATTGCTAACCTCAATGCCTATTCCACAACTCAACTTGATTGAATGGTAAAGATTGTGATACCGAATGAAAAGATCTAGAGCACTAAAGATATTGAGAAAATAGCATGTATCAAATCCGCTAGATGATAACATATTGAAACTATACCAATGCCTTAGGTGTGAGCGAAAGATTAGCATACACGAGTAATGAAAATTTAAGAGAATTAATATGTATTACTACTTCAAAAACAATAACAAAACAATAACAACAACAATAAGAATAATAATATGTTTATTATAATTAAATATTTACTTTTCAGGATACATAATACTGATAATAGATCAATCAGTAATGTATGAAATTAATAATGACACTTGTTCTTCTATTTTTTAATTATATATAAAAAATAATTTTGCAAAACCATAGCAGTCGGTTGCTTCAATTTTCTACCATCCCAAGCCCCAGCAACATCTTAAGTGCCACACCTATATCCCAAAAATAAAAATAGCAAAAAAATAAAAATATAAACACAGCAAGCATCGGTACTTTTTTAAAACATTTTAGGCATTTAATGTTTGCATGAAGGCTACCAACTCTACACTTTCTCAACACATCTCACACATGTGAGGACACCATTCAGCCCAAGTGTTTTAAGAAAAATAATAATAAATCTCAAAACTAATGATTACCAATGTCTCATTACTCACTAATTTTCTCCTTCGCTGCTCACTCACCCTCTCAAGTAATAAAGTCTCTTAGCCCTAAACTATTCACTCATACGTGCCCTCCATCTCCCTCAACCTCTCATTAGAAACCAAAACTTCAAAGATACTATTTCTAGCCTCCCAAGGCCGCAATATCAATGAACACTTTCCAAATCCAGTGTTCCTCTGTTAGGTCCATGGCCAACTTATAACTCTCCCTACCTCAATTTCAAAAAAACAACTTTAGTCGATAGCCCAGCGCCAAAGTTCTCTTCAAAACTGCCATCACCCCTAACAAAGTTGTCAGCAATTAGACACGAAAATTTCATAAGTCGTCAAGCATTTCTATCCCAATGTCAGCTAATTCCGCAAACGTCGTTACAATACATCTCCAACAAACTAATAATTGCAACCACTCACCTGTCCTACAGTTGATCACCCCACTGCACGAAAAAACACTCCAAATCTCCCAATCCATGTCTCTTACGCTAGTGACATAATTCCACTCAAGTCAACATCGTCAAGCATTTCACAAATTACCATTTTGCCCCGACACCAATACAATACCACCAAAATCCTGCCAACCACCCAAGACACCACTACTTCTCTTCTCGGCCCAAAGTCATTCTCAACAACTCTTTACTCTCTCATAAAAGTCAATCTCATGGCATTTTCATCAACAGCATCATCTCGCAAAAGTTAAAAGAACAGTAAGTAGCCACACCACCAATGAAAAGTACATGTGCGCATCATTTCAACTTGGCTAAGAAAACATGTTCTATGCATGTGATTTCTATTGCAAGTGAATAACTGCCATGCACTAATTCTTAAGAGTTATGGGTTAAAGACCTAGGCCATCACATTGCTAACAACAAATGATGCATGTCTCCTTAGAGCAACGGGAAGACCTAGGATCACTCAAGTGCCCCTTACACAGAAGTTATGCCGGAAAATTGCACAAAGTTTTACTAAAAGAATTCAAAAAGAACATAATAAAATTAGTTTTCTACTAAAATGTGAGAAAATTAAACTACGAGTATAAAATTAAAAACTGGAGACAAAAAGAGACTTGAATTGCATTACATATCATGTTTAAACGAACAAAAAATAACTAAAAATGAACTAATAGTGGACTCGATAATTTACCTATAAGGGCACATAGACCTTCTTTGTTGCCTCTAAAACTCTCAGAGCATGCTATGAACTGAGGACAATATGAAAAAAACTAATGAAATGCCATTATTTATAGGCTTCTTCTTTCCTGTGAGGTCCACTTAGACGAAGCATGAACAGTGAATGCAAGCATAATAACACAATTTTAAGCGCACAACACATATTCTAAATAGCAATATTCAAAATCGGATCCACAAATAAAAAGGGCATATCGACAGAATGTAAATGCTTGAACTCTAAATGAAAAGATTTGCGTTCGTTGATAAAGGAGAAAAAAAAATAAACTATGGATGAGTTTTAAAGCAGGCATGTGTATCACAAAACAACATTCAACTCAGTTAAAACACCCACAAATTGTGTAGGTGCTTTGAGAAGTATGCACGTGCTTCGAAAATGTATCAATTATCAAAAGCAACCTCTTGCAGATACTCTAAAAAGTGTGTCAGCATGCTATATAAATAAACTCTCATTCAAACATCAATAAACATAAGGCGGCTTTAAAGCATTGTGAGCACTCAATGAAAACGAAGTTCAAATTATGCTAACTTGATATGTGTGCAATTTCCCCAAAAGATGTGCAAATATTTTAGAAAAAGTGTGAGCCTGCTTTTAAACTAACTCATCATTATGTTGCATGCACGCAATCCAATGGGCTGCCCTACCCATAAAACAAATTCATAAGTCCCACTTTTTTAAGCTTGATCCTATATGAAATCAAAATAAAGTTGACAAGGCTTTAATCTTTACAAATCTAAAAATTTAAAAGGTGCGGATAAAAGAAAACTCAAGTGGGCCACCCTGTCTAGAGGACATGGTTAAAATTCCAATTTGCTTGTTCGATCAGTTATGTTCCAAACATAGGACTTTAAAAAACTTATGCCAAGTGACTAGAGACATCAAAAAAGCTTGTCTTTAGCGAACGGCACTTGTTTGACTCGTTAAGCATCCCGTGTTCAATTTCGTTAAGCAAGCAAGCTAAACACGAACAATTTTTTTAGTTCGATTTATAAATGAGTTGAACACAAACAAAGGTTTGCTCGTTTGTGTTCGACTCGAAATAATTAAATAATTAAATAATAATATTTATTTATATTTTTTTTATATAATTTTTTTTATACTGTATTTGAAATATATATATATATATATATGCAAATATATATATATAAGATTTCAGCGGTATAAATGATTAAGTGTTAGATATGTAAACAGTAGGAATTGGTTGGTATGTATTTAAACACTCAAAAGAAAAAACAAGTCTGGCCCGATCCCATCTCACATTAGGGTTGTCAAAAAAGCTCATTGTTCGCGAACAACTCGTGTTTGGCTCGTTAAGCAGCTCGTGTTTGAATTATTCATTAAGTTAACGAGTCGAACACGAACAATTTCTTTAGCTCGAATTATAAATGAGCAAACACGAACAAAAATAAATTTTAATGAGTTGAACATGAACAAGTCGTGGGCTCGTTCAAGCTCGGCCATTTACACCTCTACAAGTGACCCAACTACTCACTTTGCAATACTTGTACAGTAAGAATTAAATATTCAATCAACAATCTCGCTTAAATTATTTAATTTTACATTTGCATAAGGCAGACCTTTTACAAGAAAAATTCATTTTCTAATTTTCAAAGTTGACCCCCTACAAGCACACAAGCAGAGTTCATAATATGACATATATCAAAATTTAATCATTAACAATTACCACTATGATGGGCATATTTACTAAAAATTATTATCAAAGGGGTTGCAATCAAAATCAAATCATCAACAATAAAAACTCAATGATAAGTTGGTTGATATTAAATAATAATGGAAAGATATCTTATTATTATAATGCCCTAAAATTCCAAAATAAACAATTCCAAGCTCCAATCATGATGATGACACATTCAAAATAATATCACAATAAATACAACTCTATCTAAACCCAATCACCCTACCTAAATATAAAATATAATAAACTACAAAACCAAAAATACTCAAGCAAAACTTGGCAATTCCAAGCTCATAGCAATCAATCCAACCATACCTCCTCCACGCCACTTTATCAATGATGAAAATTTTAAGTGTAATTAAAGTTTATAAAAGGTCAATATCATATAAACTGGGTCTACACGATCACTCTCAAAACAATAATAATGTGACATTTACCCTCTAACCGAATAATTTGCAACAAAATGACATCAATATATTACAATTATACTCAAAACTTGGAGTTTCCTCAATGGCACAATTGTGAACAATAAGGCACACATGATAGGCCTTGAAGCCCTCAATTAACATAGTTTAGCAAAATTAATCTCTTGGACAAACCTTCATCCTATGTTTACAAAATCCCCTTAAAAGGATGAAAACTATCATTATTAAAAATGATCATTTGATTAGGCTGAGCTCACTAACTCTGTTAACTAAGTAAACAAGAGTTTGCAATAACAAGAGATGATGGGCTCGTTAGAAATTAATCAAATCAGTCATCATTCCCCCTATTATCCACTCCAAATTAATGTTAACTATTTTCTCTATCACGAACCAAATCGCTAATATTATTAACTAAATATTTAGAGCCTGCTGATTAAATTAATCAAAAGTTCTTTATCATGACTGAGATAAGTAATTAACCTTCAACGCATTTATTTGAATCATGAAAAAGGCACTTCGACCATTTTTTGGCATCTTTTTTTTTCTTTTGCATGTGTTTTTGGATCATCTGATGATCTTATCAGGACAGTAAATGTTTTAGATTTGACTTTTTGTAAGAAAAGTAGAGGTAGACCTAAAAAGACTTAGGCATGTTGTATAAAAATGATCTCAATCTATTAAAATTAAATGAAAATAAGACACTCAATAGGACACAATGGAAAAAAAGGGTTCATGTAGCCAACCAACTTAGTGGGATAAAGGCTTTGTTGTTGTCGTCGTCATCGTTGTTATTGGAATATTAACTACTAGCCCAATAAAGAAAAGCATTACTTCACCCTTGCCGAATTTTGGAAGCTCCTTGGCAAAAGAATATGGATTAATAACCCTTAATTAGACAGCCAAGTGGTGTTTCATGGAAATTGGCATTGCTGCCTTGGACCAAAGCCTTGCATCCAAAACAAGAAGTGTGAACCAAAATCTAGGGGCAAATTCCTCAATCAGGCCATAAAAGAAGATTTATAAGGAACTACAAACGTATTATGCAAACATTTCACTGAAGGCTTGAGGACTACTAGCTTTAAGTGAACAAAACCAACACAAATGCCTTTTGAACAAATCAAAACTTAAAAGAATAAGGTTTAGTACCTACATTAACATTTTTTTTTGCGAACTGTTCGCAGCGGGCTAAACTTGTTTCACATTCTTTCTTTTAAGAGATCCGACACCTTGCTTTTAAAGGCATAAAGCAAGGTGCCGAAAGTTTTTACAAATTGGCTGATGCTTCAAACATTACATACGTCGAAATCAAGAAGTACGAAGAGAGTTTTCCAATTAACGAGATGACTGATCAACATAGACCTGATGTTTTAAGTATTGGCTAAAGTAAATTATTATTAGAAGCAAAATCAAACATTAAAGAAGTCCATGTTTATCCAGATCAACAAGCTGTATTGTACTGACATTGTCAAAAGAACGTTAATCCAGTGGGGAGTTCAAATTTGGTAGATGAAAATAAATAAAGAAAGCAGTAATGAATTGAAATTAACTGTAAAATCAGAGCAGAGTTGTCAAAATTATCACAAACTGATCTCAGATTTATTTAATATGAATAAACACCATAGGGCCGTCACAATGGCAGTCTTGTAGTATATGTGTGGAGTATGGCACCTAAAAGACATCAGGCTGACTGTTAAGCTTCACCTTTAGAAAAGCTTAATCCTTGTAAACATCGAGTTCGGTTCTCAATAAGAAGATTACAGCTTTTCCCTCAAATATAAATATGATGTCAGCATGGCATCCGATTTGGTAAGCAAGACTTTTAACTATAGACTGGGCTTTTTAATCTAATTACAATAATGTATGAACAGAAAATTTAGTCAAAAAATCCAAATGGATGAAAATGAAGCATTGAAATTAACCTTGATGGTCCTTCAAAGCAATCGAACTGGTCAACTCAGTAATGCGACGCTCTATGATTATTATATTACCATATGTTTCAGGCTTGAAAGCATCTTCTCCTTCATTCTTAATTTCAACAAATATAGCAGCATAACTGTAAGAACAAATAGCTCAGTATAATATAGAGTGATCGAGATGACTGAAACTGAAAGCTATTACAAAGTTAGAAAATTCATGTGTTGCAATAACCTTTTTAATTTACTAGAAAAAAAAATAGATTGGATTTAAAAGATAGATAAACGAAAAATTATCAGAAAGGGAATAATCAAATAGGCACTATTTCTTAAAAACTGCATTATTACCGGCCATGTATTCTGCAATTTAATAATAGTTATGTCCATGACACAGAACCCTCTAGAAAACAATCAGCCAAAATGTGAATAGAGATATTTTTCCATGACAAAAGCCATGCATTTTCCTCCACTGTAAAATGTCATGCAAAATTAAAAAATGTAACACTGCAACTTAACCTTCATCTTAGGAATGTGCAGATATATAGCCGTTTCTTTAGCACCAAAATCTTTAAAAATTCTTTATCATCATACAATTTCTAGGTTATGAATTTTTAAAAGATTTGAAATGAAATTTCTTTTGAAAAAAGAAATGCCTATGCTGCACAAAATTGGGCTTCTCTTGTAAAATATGAACTTTAGGTCTTGGGGAAAATTTTTGAGTTTTACAGTGAAAATTTTGTGCATACTCAGTTTGTGCTGTACTTTATTTCCTTTTTCTTCTTAAAGGCACCAGAGTCCCACTAATAGATACATCAGCTACCGTAATTTTATAGAGACAATGCTTATTTAGCTTTTAACTAATAGAATACAAATTGCACAGCTCATTATTCGCATTAAAAAGTTACTCTTCAAAAGGAACTATAACAGTAGGTAGTTTGCAGGGAGGAATGGAGACAGAAGAGGGAGGGGAAAGAAAGAAGAAAAGTTAATATACTATCCACTTTGAGCAAAATTTTAATCTTTTACATTTTCTTGGTCTAAACTAAACAAAAAAAGCAAATCAAACTCAGTTTCTCAATCATTAGAACCACAATGATCAAATTTTGCATGAATTTTGTAACTGTTTCAACAGCTGCCAGTTTAATGAAAAAATTTATTTGTAACGACTTAGAAAATACCATGAAGAATGTAAATTTTTAGATTATACCTTCCACAAATAAAAAAAGAATATAGCACTTCATGTTTAAATTAAAATACAACATAGTGGTTTTCACTGTCAATAGAACATGCTTATTTGAATTTTTTTTAACATGGTTTTCATTTTTTTAGTTTACACGCACAACACACCAAACACACTATTTAAATATATCATAAGTTTCGAACTTCAGCTATTTATTGCGGTGTTCACAAGATAGATGGCATTGAACCTAGTTTTAAGCACAACAAGTAAAAAACAATGAATTGAAATGCAGGTTTTCACAATAGCAGGACATAGACAAACTAATATAAGTCCATTTCAAAGATGTAGCATTCACCAAGGGTGGATTTTTAAGATTATATATATATATTATCATTTATTTATATTTTTATTTGACTATATGCTTCATTAAAATATATAATTGTGCCTCTGAAATTTTAAGATATTTATTTTATTTTGACTGAATTTAATTTTAATTTAAATTATTTCTATAAATTCATTTTATTAATCAAACTGCCATAATTTCTCAATAATCAAAATCACTAAATTTTAGTGTAAAATTCCAAATTAAATTGAGCCCCCTTTATATTTGTTAGGTTTTACTTTCAGACGTATCCCACTCCCTCTGCCCCTCCACTCTGCCGCCCTATGTTTTCAATCTCATCCCGCCAACCCTCAAGTGCTCTATCTAATTTTTGCGCCATCCTGGCTCCCTCGGCTATCATCCTCCCTCACGCTTAGGCTTTAGCTCACTCCTGCCGTCAAGCAGGAAGCAAGCAACGAACAGCATCATAGCACAGACTCCCCTTCTCCTCCAGCTCCTCTCAGTCTCCTCTCCTTGTGCATTGCATAAGCTCGGCCTTCTCCAAACCTCTCTATAGCCACTAATATTTAGTCGGCAGCTCAAAGCATATTAGATGCAAGAGTTTGATCAGCTCCATTGAGAGAAAGTTAATATGATCATTTTTGAAAGCTTTTTATGATTTCCTCATTAATAAGGCATATCAGCTGTAGAACGAGTAATTAAAGGTTGAGATACCCATCATGAGTCCTTATCTAATCTATTGGTATAAACAATCTAGTGTTAAAACTTACAAGTATTTTGTTATGCAATCATTGTAACTAAATTGTGAAAAGTAAAAAAAATAATAGATGTCCTATTTGTAGGATTGATAAAACAGGGCTCAAATTTAGCTTCATATTCCTTAAGTTACAAGAAAATTTGGAGTTTAAGAAGAACGAACTAATTTCCAAATTGTCACTGTTGTTAATCACGTGGTATCAAAGTTTTTCATAGTAGTCAAAATTTTGAAAATATTGATTTAGAAATAATTAGAATGTTCTAACATATGTTTTCAAAGGAATGTCATATTAGAACTTTCTACCATTATAATGTTTTATACTTCTATGGCTTAATTTATATTTCATGTAATTTTTTTTTGTGCCTTTATTTTATACATGAATGCCAAATAATATGAATTTTACTTTACTTTAGTTCCTTTAAAGAAATGAATTTTCAAAAGCAAGATTGGCATTTCTTGAATAACTTTTTTGTAATCTCATTTGATCTGCAAGGATTTAAACAAATATAGAGAGGTTTTTTTAGCTATCAAAAACCAAGTTACCATCAAATTCAAATGCGATAGTGTAAGAAATAAAGAAAAGAAGCCGAAACAAAATAGTAAGGACAACGAGTCATTGATGAATTTAGGAGCTGATTTTTTAAATCTTCAATTATTGAATCCTGCATTGGTGATGTTTTTTTTTTTTTTTCAATTTTTAACTCCACCTTTACTCAAATCAATGTACAAAATTTTGGTTCATATGATTGTTGATTTATTCATTTTTCTTCCTACCTTTCTTAAAGAATTATAGGGACATTTACATATATACCACATAATTTATGCATTTACATATTTAACTCCTATAATTTTATTTTTATATTCATGACACTTAAATTTTTTCATATCACATCAAAAATACAACTATAAGTAACTTTTATGAAGTAAAATACACTTTTTCATGCATAGATAAAGTGTCATATATGTAAAGTTTGAGAGTTGGCTATGTAAATACATAGAAATTCAACGGCATTTATGCAGCTATTCCTAATTATCTCAATTCTTTGCATTGGTGTATCATCCATCTCTACTATATTAGCCCGAAACACCTCTTTTACTATTACCTTAATTTCAATATATGCTAATCAGCGTGCATTATTAAATTTCAGTAATGAGTTACCCAAGGGTTGGCACAACAAGTATATGTCCTCAAAAGTAGATGTAACGTAGCCTTATAATTTGTTTGTGAATCTTTGCGTCGGCATCAAAGAGGCAAAGAAACACTTTTTGTCGTTAGAACGAATTGCTAAGATGGGAAATAATTGGTTTTTGCCATAAGAACCACCAACGCTGAATAACAAAAAACTAGTGAGATGCAGAGCATGCAGACGTTATAAGAAAATGCTATGTGACTGAAGCGCCTTGCCTGCATCCAGTCTTTATGAGATCTTTCAAAGCGTTCGCCCTTTGTGTGCCTTTAGCCCGGCAACCAAACGCCACACAAAGCGCTGTCAATATCGCACTTTTTCCACCTAATGAGCAGAAAAAAAAAACAAACCTTTAGACAACAAAATGGGTCAAGCAACAGAAGCGCGCGGATTTTGGATTCGGACAGGAGCTTATGGTTCTAGGGAAATACTTCCGTTCTGGCCTGTGATGAAGTTCACCCAGTCTCCCAAATCGATTTGTAAGCTGCTGTGGCACATGAAATTCTCCAGACGAATCCTCGAAATTACTCCAGGGGCCGATCTGTCGGGGTTCGCCCGTTGCTCAGAGAAAATCCTAGATTCCTCCATATGGATTGCAAAACGTTGTAAGGGCGAGGAGAGAATGAGAGGAGAAGTAGATGGTGAGATGTTGGGAGGCGGTACGACGCCGCAGGAGTCGGAAAGAGGAAAAGCAATAGGGCCGGAGAAGTAGCCCGCCAAAATGATCCCTTCCGATCGTGCATGTATTCCATTGGGTTAAAAATTAGAGAGAATATTATCTTTTTTATATGTATAACATTATTACTATATAATTATGTATAATATATGTATTATAGTATATAACATTATTCTGTATGGAGCCGACATGTATACAAACTCGACACAAAATATTTTTTTCCAAAAATCATAAATGTCTTACAAAAGATGCAACTATGGTGTAACTGAACCAGATTGACTCATGAGCCGGCTCTAATTTGGCTTGATATGTTATTGTTGAGCCGACCTTGATGAGTTAATATCTCAAGCTGAAGCAACCAAACTTATTGAGTTGGCTAGTGAGTCCACTCTTTATAAAATAATGAGTACAAATATTTACTCAAAATATAATAAAACTTAATGTTTTATTTTAAATTATTAAAAATTATTTAAAAATTATTCTTCTCCTACTTACTTATTCACTCTATCATTTTATTTTGACACCAACTTAAATTATTGTTATTTTTTTCTCTTTAATAGTAAATAAATTAGCTCGTGAGTCGGCTTGAACTCATAAAAGCTCGGGCTTGAGTTCAAACTCGATTAATTAATGAGGCTCAAGCTCCAGTCAATTGTTTCTCGAGCTTGGTTCGAATCATTTGCCCCATTGGTACGACTAATTCAGTGCAAAATAATTCAAATATTGAATTCTCTTGTCTTTTGCTGAAAGGAAAAAGTATTCTCACTTCATGGGCTCTCTCTAGGCATCAAAGGCTTTGATTTAGCTCTTCTATAGTATGTGATTTTTAAGTTGTTCTCTATAATTATCTCTTCAATACAATCAAATAAATATGAAATTTCATAAATTAATGGATCCTTTCTATATATATTTTTATATTTTTACTCTTTATTTATTATGTATGGCAGTTTATAACATGATTTGAGATGTCAGCGTGTAGTTCATTAACGGGAATGCATTCATTCTAAGAAAAAAATGACTTGTGTTTTATTTTGTTAAGAAAATATTTTTCATGCATGTAAAATTTTCTTATGTTTGTATTTGTTGATGAACACAATAAGAAATTTCTAAGGTAACGAGTAAGGTTGATTTTGTCAATTACTAATTGCCTCGTTGTTAAATTATATCTTATTTTGTGCTAAAGTTTGTGTTCAATTGAGTACTTTATGCTTTTATCACAATAGCCTTTTTTTTTGGGTAAAGTTGCACTTGAAAGAAATAATTTGTTAATGTTTCTAACCTTGTTGTTTTGACTTAGTTACCACGGGTTACTTTAATTATATATTAAAAATTTCAAATAGGAGCGTATCCTTTTACTTATGGTGTGTTTGTGGCAGCTACAGCTTATTGAATAATCTGCTGATAAGTTGATTAAAAATAATTTGCTGATAAGTTGGGTGCAATGACTATTATAAATTTTTATTTTTTTAGAAAAGTCAAAACGCACCCAGAAAGTTGTCACCGCACCTAGATAGATACGGTATGAAAACACTATTTTTCAGCATTTTGAAAATGCATACGCTGCTAAAATGCAATTTACCCAAACAGGCCAGGTGCGTTTTCAACATGCCACCACACCAAATAAGTTGCATCAAACGGACCCTTAGTCTTTTTATTAAGAAAATGAGCAGATTTAAATTTATGAACCCTTAAAGGTTGTCCTACTTGTATATTGGGTCATTCCTGTTAATATTGCATCAACCAACTCTCTAAACATAATTGAGTTAGACAAAGTTATCTCTATTGACAAGTGGTGATACTTATGATTTCATTCTTATTACAAATCATTTTTGCCGCCTAATAATTCCCTTTGCATCATCTATATGGGCATCGTTTTAACTTCTAAATACATGTTTATAAGTAAAATTATTAAAACTTAAAAAATGCATATTAATATAAGTCTATAATGACCATATATTTATTCCTTATAAAAAACTCAACATTGTTGAGGCCTCCCTTAGAATTCCATCTTCTAATAACGCATCCTAGCTCACTTACTCCATTAGACTCATTAAGAAGGTGCAATATAAAGAAATTTCTCTTTTAGTGAATAGCCTAACACTCTCGACTCTTCTTTTTCTGCTTATTGATGTTTTAATATAATAAGTTTGAATATGGAGGATTATCGTAATTTTCTTAACAATCTAAGATGGATATACTTACTCATGAGAAATAATATTGATTTTCTCCAATTATATATAGAAGGAAAAAAGAAATTATAACTTAATTAATTATGTATTTACTGCTAAAGGAGTCCTCTTCTCTATTCAAGACATCACTATAAAAGTTATTAACATTTTTTTTATATAATTAGAACTTCCATGGCTCCTCTTAATTTCTTTGCAAGTACCAATGTTCATATAGATAACTATTCATCTAAGCTAGCATCATCTCAACGTTCCTTTCTTTAATTAAGACATAAGAATGCACCAATGAGAGACAAAAATTTTATCTATAGCATTATATCTAAATTTTTAATGTTTGCGGTTAACCTCATTTTTTGTCATGCTCAATCTCAATCATTGCATGTATATTTTGACCAGCTTCAAGCCTACTACTTTAAATGTTAAGATACTATATATAGCCAATGGATCAATTTTTAATCTCCTAATTAAAACCACATTATAATATCACATACACTCTTGCTTGTTTGTTGAAGTAGTCCAATGTACATTAGTTACTATTTTCTAGGCTCATTCGATTCTAGCATACATTGTGCTAATTGCCCAATCAAACTTTATTTTATATGCCTGACTTTCAATGATCATGATCTTCATCCGATCGTACAAGTATTTCCATGGTCGCAGTCTCCATTTAAATATTTGTATCTTATCATGATCATGATTACTAATTAATTGATTTTGGCAATCATCAGTGACTTTATCCAGTACACTTGTATTAGTTTGCGTGTTATGATTATTTTGAATTTTTTTATGGGATCAGCCTATTAATTTAAAATATCTAAATCTATATTAATAAAAGAAAAATTAATTGTGCAATCACTTAAATATATTAAATTTTTAAAATTATTTAGAAATAACTTAATTATTTAATTGCCTGCAATTTTGATTCATTCAATGGTGAAGTATTTTAATAAAAGTAATATGAATTTTTTTTAAATGTTTGCCAAAATATAATCCGCTTATTCCTTATATGAATTGATAATGAACCTTTTATCTTCTAGCATCCTCCATTATTAAAAACATCGTACACAATTAAAATTTACATCCCACAGTAGGCCATACTCCTTAATAGCATATACCACTATATTCTCTTATTATGCAAATATTACCTATTTATGAGTTATATCACTTGGCATAACATGTCTCTCAATGTTTACCGTTGCACCTCACTCCTCCATATGATAGCTAATCCACCTTAAATTTCCTATATCATAAATTTCTCATTTTTTACTTTTAGATGCACTTGAGCCCCCTACTTACTAAGACTTAAATACCTTATAACATTTATAAAAACCTACTCGCCTCCCAAGTTGCTAGATATATTGTGTGCTCTAACTAAATGAACCATCTCCACAAATAGCCATCCATGTCTCTTCCTGAGCACACGATTCTAATATATTTCTTATTATCCGTCTCACGCATTCTTACCACAAATCTTGCATAGCATTCCATCCACCCTAACGTGACATAAGCTTGGATGTTTAGCTGCTAACACATGCAATGCAAATCAATCAAAAGGTTTAAGACTCATATAGCAAGGACATTATTTTATAAATCATTAACAACTCTACATCATTTGCACACAATCATGTAATATGTAATGATGCAACTTGTATTAGCATGCATAATTATGCATTTAAATTTTCCAATAGCCATATCATCTCATATAGCTCCCGAACTAGTAAATCCATAACAGCATAAACATTGACCCTTTACGATCACTTAAATTAGTTTACTTTCCGAATTCAAATTGATTGATCAGTATGTGCATTTTTTTTGTAGGGGCAACAACTTTTTGCATACATGACCTTGGGATCTAACAATGTGTATAATTTCATGAACAATCTAGTAAACATAAACTACCTATAAGTGATGTGTTCCAATTTAATCACTTAGCTTGTAAGATACTTGGATGGGTGGGGTAGCTCGAGATGACATGTTTATATGAGTCAAGTAAAATAATACATAACTATATATTGATGATTATGCCATGTTATGTACATGTTGTGATGTAAGTGGGTACCTTTTATATGTTAGTCACTGTACAAAAACTACATAATTTACGAGTCATCAACTTCAATTACAACTAGGTATTCTTAGGGTATTAGTGGCTTGGGATGACATGTCTATGATGCCTCGATCTGGCTACCTCTACCAGTTAGGGATTACTCATCTTTTCTTTTGACCACCTTTGTTGAGCCATGTAGCTCATTTTACATTCGTTGATATCATCTCGAAAGCCTGATTGCTGATGAGTTGTCGGTCGTTTGAGATACGACAATTTGTCATATGCTATTATGGCCCATATATGTTTTGACGTATCAGGATTTCTCGTCCGAATGATTTGGTTATTTTGAGGCTTCAAATGCCGATGAGTTTGTTACAGTGGAAGTTTTGAAAGCATCGAGTATTCCCATGTGAAATAACTACCTTTTTATAGTCATATGCTAGTTGTCACTTTTAATACAAGCAAGGCTCCATGTATCAAGAGAATTATAGGTCAACTCCCAATATGTAATTAAGCAAGTGTGATGCATCTCTTGGAGCACTCTGGATCGCAAAATAGGTAAACACCTCTGAATCTCTCGTTGTGAGTAGCTTTCGTAGGCATTATTTCGCGGATATTTGACACAAACTATTTTGGTCCAATCTTGTTCGAACTTAGGGTCTATTTGAGGTAGTTGTTGATTATTTATAATCTGTTGATAAGCAGATTATCCTGATAAACTGATAATCTGCATATTATCAGAATAAACTGGCTTGTTGTTTGAGGCAGCTTATTCAAAACAATTTACTAGGAGCTGTTGTTGAATAAATGATCATTTTGCCCATGTTTGGTCAAACAGTTTGCAATAGAACTGTTTATGAAAAATAATAGATAAAATAAATGTCTCAAACTATTACAGTTCAGTTACTGCTATAAAGTGGAAAAATAATTGTCAAGCTACTCATAGAAAACAATGCCAATGCTCAAGCTAAAATATAATATCGCACTAAATTAAATCCAATTACATTGAAGGATTTCTACTCTTTGCTACATTGCAAAAGAGTGTAATTTGGCAAACAAATTCACCAAGATTACACAACACACAACCTTACGATCAAAAAATTTAAACAAGAACTTATCCAACAATAAGAATTTCACTACGAGTGTTACGCCCAAAAGTAAAACAAATGTGGTCAGACAAATATGCAATAAAAATCTCATTTTGTCTACCAGTTATGGCACAAATATAATTTTCGACACAAAACTTCAGCCAACCCTCAAGCTACTGCACTCAACTCCCACCCTAAACCATAGCTGCAAGAATGAGAATTAATAACTCTAGCGCAATAGCACATCTCACCCCACATTTGAGCAATCTACAATTAATAGCACCTTACCAAGGTTCTGATCAAGTTCTTATAAAAAATGAAGAAAAAACAGACAAACACCTTACCAAGGTTCTAATGAAGTTCTTGTCAGAAATGGAGAACAAACAGACAAACACCTTAAAGCTAAAATAGCAACAATTCATTTTATGACTGGATGTAAACACCAACACCAAAAAGTATGACAAACCAAATTGCATTAAACAAATACTACGCAAATTGATAAGCAATTCCAGCCAATTTGAGAGGTATGTATGTAATTGCCCCATTATATTATAACTGAACTTTGCAATTTATATCAAGCCGTGGATCAATGCTTCCCTTTTTTTTTTCTTTTTGGTTTTATAGAACATATATGTAACCACTTTTATGCAATGTAATGAATATCAACTCAACCTCATAAATATCCAAAAATCTAAGGCAATCAATCTATGTATGTATGTAAATGCCCCATTAGAAGCACAAATTTGATTCCCAACATGTGAACCAATGTAAAACCAAAATTCGCAAACATTCCAACATTCCTAAGCATAAATTTGCAATAGTTAAACGATCATAGGAACAAGAAATACCACAGAATTCCTTAGATTGAGAGGATAGTCGAGAGAGTGAACAGAGATGAAAGAAGAAGCGAAAGGAACTCTCACATGTCTAGGGCAAGAAGGCAATGATTCCTAATGGAAAGATTGGAAGCCACGATCTGCATTGACCCCTCATGCCCTAGCAGAAAGAGAAGGAGAAGATAAGGAGAAGGAGGCGAGCGCGAGAGAAGTTTTCTACACTTGAGAAGGCACAATCGGTTAAGATAATACCTTATGTGCACCGAGCAGAGGGTCGATTCTCCTCGAAAGAGCGAGGGAGAGGGAGATCTCGAAAGGGGAAACAGGGGAATTCTTTCTCTAAACGCGAAACTCATACGCGGGACACGGGGTTCCTCTGGCTTGGGAAGCTAATAAAAATATCACATATCCGAACGCCGCGGCACCGAATCGTTCGGCCGAACGCGGGTTTCAAACAGGACGATGACGTTTTAAAAACGCCGTCGCACTCTATAAGCCGCCCCAAACGGGCACTTATATGTTTGACTTGTCCTAGCGAGGTTTTGTCATAAGAAAGTTCTTCACGTTCTTCCTCTTGTTTGTCTGCCTTTGTTGTATGTCCCGTTTTTTATGGTTCCTTCTTACTCCTAATCATTCATATGATTCAGAAGAGAGACTTATTCGAAAAAAAGAAATATACGATGATGGACAAACTAACGACTCCTTTAAAAATATAAAGATAAATGAACAAAATCAGATGATAATGCAAGCGAATTGATTATATGGTGTACGTGAATTCTTGGGATTTTACAAATGTTGAGGAGTACTTACGTTAATTTTGAGATATCCAAATGAATAATATTTAGTTCCCCTCCATCATTGTTGATTAGGTCGAAGGCTGAGACTATCATACAGTTAGAATAATGATTCCTATACCACATCACCCTTAGCAACCCCAATCTATTTGATGTTGTCGCCATGTGCTTTCCTCAAAGGAAAGATTACAATGTTTATATTGATTACAAAATCTTTATTAGCAAAAGAGAAGGCCTTTTGTATTCATCTGTCCATCTTTAGGGACATTTTGTTCTTTCAAGACGCACTTGCAAAGAAGCAAAAAATAATGATAGGTTGTGTTCTACAGATATAATGTTTTGAGTTAATTTTTTATCCATCATATTCTTATAGCCAAAAAAGTTAAATTTTAAAATAATAAAACTTAAATATAATGCATTTAATATTTCATGAGATGTTAAAGAAATACATGGGGTTGTGAACGATTTGATTTCGAGCAGAGTTAGGGTCAGCTCAAAATCGACCTGAAAAAATTTGATTCAAAATTTTAGTTCATAGCTCGACTCATTTATTGCAATGTGATCTCCATCCAAACAAGAATTTGAATCAATTTTGGAGCGATTAGCAATCTTTGAGCTAAATTTGCTAAATTCACAACTATAAACTGTTAACAATACAATTTCGAGTCGGGCTGGGGTTTGCTTGAAAAAAAAATTGACCCATAATTTTGGCTTGCAGCTCACTCATCTATTTCGATCTGAGCCAAAATTTGAATCCATATTTGGGCGATTAATGACTTTAAAGCTAAATACAGCGTGCCTTTGAAGCGGCAGCGTGACATCGTACCGTAGTTTTGTGATATCAACTTTTTAGTTGAGGTCTAATTTAAAAAAAAAATTATCATATTTTCTTGAATATCATATTTTTATCCAGTAATATTTTTAATAAGACAAAACAAATGATAAATAAATATAAAAATGATTTTTGTTTTTTTTTTTTCCTTCCGAAAACAGCGCGCCAGCGCGGCTATCCCAAATCGCCACACAGCCTTATAAAAGAAATTGGCGCCGATCGTCCAATACAAGAAAGTAACCGTTTATGCCGTTTTGTGCCCTGACGTACATGTAACCTGCACCCAAAGAAGGCATCGCCCCATATCACTGAAATCGCACGAATCTTAATGGATGACAGAGATATATTTGCGTGGGACCATTTACGGATTCCCAACGGCGGAAATACAGGACGTGGGGCAAACAAAATGGTCGAATGAGCAGCCATCCTCATTTCCCAAACTCTCCGATTCCGACGAAAGCCTCCGCAACCATCGCCGGCGTTCCGACCAAGAGGCGGCCATCGGGCTCGCCACCACGCTCCCCTTCTTCGACGCCCGCTTCTGCCTTCGAGTACGAGATGGGGACGGGGAGGAAGCCGAACGCGGGGTTTATGGAAGATTTCCTCATCATCTCCGGCCTCATTGCTGTGCAGATCGTCGGCGCTTTCTACACGGTGCTCTTGAAACCCATTCTATCCCTTGGAATCAACCCTCCGTTCCTCATCATCTTTGGATGCTTGGCCATGGCCTTCTTCATCTTCCCCTTCGCCATTGCATTGGAGAAGTAAGTAATTACTTTCTGGATTTCTTCTTTCTTAGTCTTTTAGTAGCAGTTATTCTTCCTTCCTCTCATATTTTCCCACCTTGCAGGAAGAAATGGCCTTCAAAATTGAGTTTTACTTTGGTGGTTCAGTTTGTTCTTATCGCTTTGGGAGGGTAGTTATTCTCTTTTGCCATGAGCAATTGCCTATTTAAGTTTTTGAACTTGAAATTTTGAGTTTTTTTTCCAGCATTTTGGGTATAAATGTGGTCTATAAGTTTATTTTATTTTTGTAGGGTAACTACATTCCAAGCTCTGATGTTTGTGGGAATCAAGAAAACTTCTCCAGCAGTAGCGTCGGCCATGCCTAACCTTGCGCCTGGGATTATTTTCATAATTGCAGCCTGTATCAGGTAGAACTTATTTCCTGACATGCAAGAGTACTGCAAAAACATTTATTGATTTATTTCTCTTTAATGGGAGTTGAAGCTGTTTGGCTGCAAGTGGGATCTAGCTTTATTGATTTATTTTTAATCTGGAGCTATGAGAAAGAGAAGAAAACCACTTATTTCATTATTAATAGATAGTTAAAAGAAAAAAAAAAAGCCCAATTGATTTACCATGTATGTTCTTTGAGAATCACATACTTTAAAGAAAAACACACTAATTAATTTCCAACAACACAATAGAACATTCTAAACAGTATATTTATATTTTGAATCATTATTTTTCAAATGTTGTGAGATATGTACTTCCTGGCATAGAAATGAAATGCAAAGAACAAAAGTAAACACAAATTGTTTACGTGGTTCGATCCAACTGGATCTACGTCCACGGGAGGGAATCAATCAAATATTTCACTATTTCACAATAAATGGAGAATACATAACTTATACATAGAGATGAGCCCTCATCTTCCTTCTATGACCTCCCTCTCAAGCGACACCTTGATACAAGGCCTCAAGATGCTCTCATCTTCTCTAGCTCTCTAACTATTCTCTTCTCCTTTATGGTAGCTTAAGATCTCTTCTCTTGCTATCCTAAGCCTCATAGCCGCACACCCTCGCAATTTATAGAAGCAAGAGAGTGGTAGGTGGGAGGTAGGTGGGTGGTGGGTGAGCGGTAAAGGTGGAGGTGTCATATTACAAAATTGCTCTTTTACCTTAGTTCATTAATTGAGGGTCAAAATAACAATTCTCCACCTTGACCTTCAATTGAGAAACTTCGAAGTAAGGATTCCCTCCACCTGGCCCCTGAGAGGGTCTCAGCCCTTGGTGAAGTATACTAAGTCCAGACAGTGTCTGAACTTAGCTGTCGGTAGCACCTTGATGAGCATATCAGCAAGATTTTCTTCAGTAGGTATCTTCTCCACTACTATTGAACCCTTGACGACGACGTCACTCACAAAATGAAGCTTTATATCTATATGCTTGGATCTTTCATGAAATATCTGATTTCTGGTTAGGTGAATAGTGCTTTGGTTGTCGCAAAACACAGTTATCACCTTCTGATGTACCCCGAGCTCCTCAGCCATGCCCTTTAGCCACATAACTTCATTGATTGCTTCAGCCACAACGATGTATTCGGCCTCTGTTGTTGAGAGGGCCACAACGGATTGGAGATTAGACTTCCAACTGACTGCCGTACCGAAGATAGTGAAAATGAATCCAGTCAGTGAATTCCTGGTGTCAATGCTTCCTGCATAATCGGAGTCCACGTAACCAACTACCTTTTCTTCTTTGTCTTTCTGCCTTTTAAAGAGTATAATCAGGTCTGTAATGCCTCTCAGGTACCTCAGGATCCATTTTAGTGCTTCCCAGTGAGCCTGTCCTGGGTTTGCCATGAACCTGCTTATAATGCTGCGGCGTAGGCCAAATCTGGTCTGCTGCAGATCATCCCATACATGATGCTACCAACCCCGCTGTCATAAGAGACACCCTCCATGTATCTTTTCTCATCTTCAGTTTTTGGTGCTTGAGAGTTTGACAATCTGAAGTATTGGCCAATAGGTGTTGCAACTTGCTTAGTCTCATGCATATTGAACCTTGCTAGAACATTATGAATATATGACTTATGAGACAAGAATAAGGTGTCATTTTTCTTATCTCTAGTAATCTTCATCCCTAGGATCTTTGTAGCAGGTCCTAGATCCTTCATGTCAAATTCAGAATTGAGCATACCTTTGATCTTCTGGATTTCCTCCCTACTTTTGCTGGCTACTAACATATCATCCACATAAAAAAACAAGTAGATACTTATTTCACATTCACCGTCTTGCCACTTCATGTACACGCAACTGTCGTAGCTGCATCTGACAAATCCGATCTTTAGCATGAGCTCATCAAATCAAATCGTTTGTACCATTGTTTGGGGCTTTGTTTCAGTCCATACAAAGCTTTCTTCAGCAAGCAAACTTTGTCATTTGTCTCATGTGTGCAGTACCCATCTGGCTGATCCATGTAGATGGTTTCTTCAAGCTCTCCATGCAGGAACGCAGTCTTAACATCTAGTTGCTCTAATTCCAAATTGAATTAAACCGCTAGTGCTAAAACTATTTTAATGGAGCAGTGCTTCACGACGGGCGAGAAGATTTTGTTGAAGTCGATTTCTTCTACCTGAGTGAATCCCTTTGCAACGAGTTTGGCTTTGTACATGATCCTCTCAAAACCTGGCGTGTCTTCCTTCTTCTTAAAGACCCACTTGCAACCAACCACTCGTTTGTTCTTTGGTCGATCCACAAGTTCTCAAGTTTTGTTCTTCATCAGAGAAGTCATTTCTTCATCTATTGCCTCTATTGCCTCTTCCCACCTCCTTCCCACCTCAGTCTTTCCTTGCTCTTTAGGGCTTCCTTGTAGTTGTTCGGTTCTACTTCTTCTATCTCTTCGACAACACTTAAAGCATATGAAATCATATATGTATGGCCGTATCTCTCTGGCGGTCTGATAGTTCTTCTTTGTCTCTCCCTTACCAAGCTGTAGTCATCATATCTTCTTTCTGGCTCAATCACTTGCTGCTCCTCTGCCACTTCATCCTGATCGTTCACAACAGTCCTTTGATATGTCAAAGTTCGTTGTTGTTGCAGCTCCACCTCAATTGAAGAATCATTCTTGGTGATATTGTTTTTGGCAGCATGGCTATACAAATTCGCCATTTTGGACTCATCGAATGTCACATCTCTACTGATGATGCATTTCTGTTGATCTAGGCACCAGAGTCTGTAACCCTTTATTCCAGGTGGGTATCCAACGAAAATGCACTTTAGGGCCCTTGCTTCCAGCTTATCCTGTCTAACTTGAGCATATGCAATACATCCAAAAACTTTGAGATTATCATAGTTACCTGGTTTCCCGTACCACATCTCCGAAGGTGTCTTCATATCGATAGCAGTTGATGGACATCTGTTGATAAAGTAGCAGACGGTTGACACGGCTTCACCCCAAAAACTTTTGGGTAGACCTGCATTTAGCAGCATGCACCTCACTCTCTCTAGAAGAGTCATATTCATCCTCTCAGCCAGGTCATTCTGTTGAGGAGTGTTCCAGACTGTCTTGTGCCTTGTGATGTCATTCCTTCTGCACAGCTCCTCAAATTGCTTTGAACAGTACTCTAAGCAATTGTCAGTTCTCAAGTGCTTCAGCTTGGTTTGCATCTTATTTTCTGTGACAGTTAGTCAGTCCTTGAACCTCTGAAAAGCTTAATCCTTTGATTTAAGGATGAAAACCCATACCGTGCTGGTGTAGTCATCTATGATGGACATGAAGTATCTCCCTCCTCCATGAGTCTTAGTTCTGGCTGGCCCCCATAGATTGTTGTGAACATAGTCAAGGGGTTTCTTTGATGAGTGAGTTCCCGTAGAGAACTTCACCCTGGTGGCCTTCCCCAAAATGCATTGTTCATAGAATTCCAGTTTGCTGACTCGATCTCCACATAACAGACTCTACTTGGACAGTTCTTGTAAGCCTCTTTCACTTACATGCCCCAGTTTCATGTGCCATAGTCTGGTCCTGTCAGGTTCTGATTGAACTGCATTTGAGAAGTTGCCGATCACGGTTCTTCCAACTAGTAAGTATAGTCCATTCTTTCTGACTCCTTTCATGACTATGAGAGAATCTTTGAATACTTTGATGCAGTCATTCTCTGCCTTGAATGAGTATCCACTTGACTCCAGCGTACCTAGAGAGATCAGATTTCTTTTGAGTTCCGGGACATACCTGACGTGCTGCAGTATCCTTTCAACTCCATCAAACATCTTGATTCTGATTGTCCCGCTGCCGACTACCCTGCAAGCTTTATTATCACCAAGTAGAACAGACCCACCGTTCTCCAGTTGCAGTGACTCGAACTAGTATTTATGAGGACACATGTGGAAGGAGCATCTTGAGTCAAGGGTCCACTCCCTGCTAGATTGTCAGAGCCATCTGAGGCTACGCTTGCCTCTCTAGAATCTCTCGGCTTCTCCTGAAAACTTTTCTTTCTAACCGGACAGTTCCTTCTAAAGTGATCTTTCTTGTGGCAGTGGTAACACTTGCTAGATCTCTTAGAAGACTGACTTCTGTCCCTCCTTCTGGAATTTGATCTGCTCTGATCACTTTTGAAGCCTTTCTTGCTCGATCTTCCTCTAACTGTCAGACTACCTCCACTTGTTTCCTCTTTTATGTTGTGCTTCTTCTGGAGTTCTTTAGCTCTAATAAGAGATTGAACCTCCTCCTCCTCCAGAGTAACAGTCTGCGAGTCTGCGCCCTTCCATAGAACATCGCATCCTTGAAATGCTCGTAGCTCTTGGGAATAAAGTTTAGCAACAGTAGTGCCTTGTCCTCATCGTCCATCTTGACGTTGATGTTCTCGAGATCATCGATGATCTTTTTGAACTTGTTAATCTGCTCTGAGACGGATTTGTCTTCATGCATTTTGAAGGAGTATAGGCGCTGCTTCAGAAAGAGCCTATTAGGCAGAGACTTTGTCAGGTAGAGTACCTCGAGTTTGGCCCAAAGTGCTTGAGCCGTTGTCTCTTTCGACACCTCCCTCAGAACTTTGTCACCCAAGCTGAGGATTATCAAACTGTGGGCCTTGTCCAGTATGTCGATCTTCTCCTTTTCGGTCATGTTGGCCGGCAATGCCGCCGACCCTTGCACGGCTTCTGCCCTGCTGAACCAACAGAGCTCTCATCTTTACTCTCCATAGATCGAAATCATTATTCCCGTTGAATTTCTCGATGTCGAATTTGGCGGAACTCATTATTGTGGCTTGATCTCCACTAACGTCTGAAATTCGCTCCGCTGAGCACCTACTGAATTTCGAGAGTTGTTGCGGCGTGCTTTGTGTGCTTCTGTCGCAGCGTGTGCTAACTGTCGAGGAAATCCTCCTCCTTCGCGATATTTGTCCCTTCGCGGACCAAACTACCCGCCTTCCTCTG